ACCTCCTGTGGTTCCCCGTAATATTGAGCTACAACTAGGTGATTCGATGAACATACATGTATAGATCTTGCAACATTCGGACTGCAAAAGGTGCTACCTCAAGGTTCCAAGACGCCCGAATCAACGCTAGATCTGCATGGCATATCGGATCACGCCCACATTTGGACCCCAAACTCCTACAGCCCAAATTTGGACATGATGTCATTATATATCATCTAGGATCTATATACATATGTATAACATACCATATTATAGGCTCCATGTAGGTATACTGCTTGTAATTCTTATATGGCCCCATGTAGGTATTATAGGGTTAAAGCTCCCTTTAACCATGGCATGGGGGTTAACGTTGGACATTACAAAATATATCTATATATATATATATAGCAAGCTAGCTGGTCATAATTCTAATATAATATACACCATATCAGATCTTGCGCCGGGGGCCCACGCTGCCCTGCCTAGCTTTCCGTCGGCTTAGCCGTGGACTTAAGTTTTTTGGCGTGTTTCGCCGCCCCCTTGTACGCGGCGATTGTAGAAATCAACTCCCCAGTCACCACCCTCAGCTCATCAGTCCCAACGCCGGTGGCGATTGCCGCCTGCAAGGGAGCTACAGCTCGGGATCTTGTTTATTATGTTCTGGGAGGAGGTGCAAGGTTTTCCTAATAATCATGAATATAGGAATTCGAATTAAATATATTTGCAACAAACATATATTATATAACATAATTATAATAAGCTTCGAATGGAAGGAGGAGGTCTCGACGTGATTCCCCCATGTATGACAGATGAACACAGCATTGTTTAGCTCTGCACATGCACAGATCCTATATTATACGTTTTTCATGATCATGAGATTCGACCCGGTCTGCACCTCCACAGCTGTCCTCTTGCCCTCGAGCAGGACTACGTATTTGGCCACATCCTCCAACACGGCATTCATGAGGTGCTCCGGCCTGGGCGTATGTATAGATTGTTTGGCTTCTAGCGGGCATATATTATATATAATAGAGTTGAGCCAGATAATTAAGGGATCCGATCTTCAGGTGCATCTCGAATGGATAGATTTCATCATGGCCCATCGAATCGGGATGGTAGATATCGCCCTTCAAGCCCCAACCCCTACATCCCCAGATCTTGTATTATAATTATTATATTACGTAGTCTTATATCAAAAACTATGTATATATATTGAATCACATTCGTATCATATTTATTCTAATCCTTGCCCCTCCACGTTGCTGCAGCTCTCAAGACGCCGTCCCAACTCTTGCACTCCAAGATTGCGCTCGCCGCGGAGTTCAGCGTCTGGGAAGCGGGGGGTGTTGCCGTTGGGTGCTACCGATTCATTATTACGATAGGTTCTCGTGACATGCGAATACAGGCGCGCATTTTAAATTTCTAGTATATAATATATATATATATAATAAATATCAAACCCTAAACCCTAAACCGTGTGACATACATATATATAAGATATACATGTATATATATATATAAAACATGCTACATAGAAGTCCCGGGCGCAGACTTGGCCTCCTGCAGCGCCGTTTTGGCCTTGGGCGTAGGCGCTGGCTCACCTTCCTTGCCCTTGCCGGCACCACCCTTGCCCTTGCCGCTTTTGCCACCCCTGCGACCACCCTTTCCCGAGCTTCCGCAGCATCCTCCGCTCGGACCGCCCTTCCCCTTGCCATTGCCTTTCACATCCAACATGTTCACATTGGACTCCACCATGTTGTTGGGCCGCAAGCTGGAAGGGTTTCGCCTTATAGGATGAAGATTGGGATCCACAATATATATATATATAGATTAGAGCCCCCCCACTACAACATATATTATATATATATCCATGTATTGTAGACACACTCATATATACATATTATAGATATACGCCACACAATATATACAAACCTTATATAAATATAGATCAGTACGTATAGAACCGTTTGTATGCCAAGTTAGCGGGATGATAGCCAAGACTCATGATCTCGCTTGCTGCCTCATTCTGGATGTTACCCGTACTCGTGACGGATGTACTCGCAGAGGCTCCTTCATCCTTGATCTCGGCACTCGAATCCCAGCACCAAAAGAGCATTTGCGCCTGTTCAGGGATGTGGGAATGTACTATATACGCAACATATGTATTCTGGCAGTGGTCTATGATCATATGTGGGCAGGTCTCAGGCACATGACTGATTAATAGGGGGTTTTGTTGAAGCCATGCCTTCCGGTCAGGGTTGTAGCACGTCAGCTTGTCATCGATCTGGCCAAATTATATAAGGAGCATATATATATATATAATACACATATATATACATACATGTTTGTATGAACACCCGCTATCCATTCTAGCACCTTGACCCGAAGCCTTAATTTAATTTGCGGCATCAAGAATTATCGGCAGATCTACTCTGGAAACACGCCTTGGTCTGGATGATCTCATCAACGGCCTCCGTGTCGCCGTGGTACTTGACCAACAAGTCCTGTAATTATGACTAGAATCGAAGTGTCAGAATACTACGTATACATGCGCACTCAACAATTGCAAATTTTCAAACAGTTTAGAAAATGATCATGTATCATTATAATAGAATTTAAATATATTTACATATATATATTATATATACTATACAAAAATATAACTAATATCCCTTTAAACCCTAAACCCTTATATTACTATAAACCCTGAACCCTAATAAACCTCAAACCTACACTGGATCATGATATAATTACGTATATATATATAGTAAAAAAAAAACACTCCTCCCGGGACATGTACTTGTAGACACCACGGCGTCTGTTGGTCTCGAAGGCTGTCGCGTTGGCCACGATGGTGGACTGCTTCCAATCCCCGCCGACCTGGAGATACTCTTCAAGCAGCTGGCCGCGCGCCAAGCGGTCGTTGCCTGGGATGAATATAATGGACCCAATTAATTATAAAGGTAGCCCTCTAAACCCTTTATATAGCCCTTTATGTAAACACATGGCTTACCCCTATATATGGGGCTCAAATTAGTATATATGCCCTTTATGAATTTTTATCTGCCATGTACGTGTGAATTAATTGCAAGACATATATATGGAACCCCAGGCAAAATCACATTAGTGTAGAGATGAGGGATTTAAGATTTCTAGCCAATTAGTGGAGAGTACGTATACCACAATCGATATCGTATACATGTACCAGCTCGGCAGAAATTGAGGACCTTAACAACATCCGCTGTAGCATTCTACATGTTGGGTGGGATTGTTGGCTTTTTGTGGCTATTATCAAGGTTAGAGTGTGGTATGCCCCTCGCTGGTCATATGGTCATGTTTCCTGTTGCACGTACGATCTATAGCATGTGTATATATATATATAAATACGGATCGGGGGTGATGTCATATTATATATATATGGCATAATTAATATAACGTGACACAACATGAATTATGTCAAGAATCGTCTCGCGATGTCCGAGAACTTCTCCTTAACCACATCAGGACACGCCGAGCCTGAGGTATACGTATGCATTCGAGTGATTCAATAATTTTAGGGTTTAGCGTGTGGGGTATATAGGGTTGAGGGTATATATAATATAATATATATATATACCTATCGATACATATAGCCAAGGCGCTCTTAATGGAACGCGTAAAGCGCATGTAGATGGCGCGCTGTCTCATCCTGCGCTGCTTCTTGGTCAGCTGATCTGGCGCCCCAACTGCATGCTCCGGACCCGGCGGTGGCGGCGCGACTGCATGCCCCGGACCTGGCGGTGGCGCTGCAACTGCATGCTCCGGACGTGGCGGTGGCGCCGCAACTGCATGCTCCGGATGTGGCGGTGGCGCCGCAACTGCATCCTGCGTTGTACAATCGCATGGTCCCCGTATATATGATATAGTATATATCATAGATTATAATTCTAAACTTCACAGATTAATATATATATATTACTACACATATATATATATATCTAGTAGAATATGAATCGACCTTATCTATGTTTCGATGTGCCTTCGAACTCGAGCTCACATCCAAATCCAAAGTGTTTGGGCGGCGCAGCACAGCGTGGAGGGCCTGCTGAAGCCCTGCAGTCGTCTCGCCTGCCTTTGTTGCATATTTCCATGATTGGGCTCTGGAATGGGAAGACGTCGACCTCCCTACATTTTAAAACTATTTTTTTAATATATAGGCACAATATTAGCTCCTAATACTGTAAGTCCTCGCTCATATATCTATATAACTTTATAAGAAATTCGGCCGAAGCTCTGCAGGCTTGGTACCCTCGAGCTCCGCTTGCGAGCTGGCCACTTTAAGAGGTTCTGGATCCACGGCCTTCGAGTCGCCCATCGCATCCACCCCCACGTCGAGTGCCTCATAGATTATGATCACCACGATGCTATATATATATACATAATATATATATATATACATATATATATATTATATTAATACCACCCCCCAGGTATCCAAGCAAAAACATACAACAAGTTCGGCCAAAGCTCGGCAGGCTTCGTGCCCTCATCAAGCTTCGTGCCCTCAAGCCCCGTGCCCTCGAGCTTCGCTTGCGAGCTGGCAACTTTCTGAGCTTCTGGATCCACGGCATTCTGGTCGTCGCCCTTCTGGTCGTTGCCCTTCATAATCACGTCCACACCCGCGTCCAACGCCTCGTGACATTTGAGCATATATATATATATATTGAACATATCATGCTTGCTCATGTATATATATATATATACACCACACACCCCATACAAGTTCAGCCGGAGCTCTGGTCTCACTTCCTCGGCTTGCGAGCTGAGAACTTCCCGCTCTGCTGGATGTGGGGCCATCTCGTCAAAAGCCACAGCCTCACATGGATCATATCTTCTATTAATGCCTAGCATGATAAATTCAAGGCCTATATATATATATATAAATATAGGTTTATATACATATGTATAAATATATACTATCTTTTTTAAAAATATATATATATAATATAATTAAGCCTAAGCTCCGGCTTCTCGTCCACCACCTGGGAACTGAGAACACGTCCTTCGGGCTCAGAGATCTTGACCTGCTGGTCGGCTTTCAAGTCCACATCCATGTCACTTGCCTCGTTGCTTCGAATGAAGGTCGTAATATATCACCCCTATATATATATGTATGTATTTAATTAGATATAGTTATAGCATCTAGACTTGCCCTGCGCTGCTAAAATACTATAATACTATCATGATTAAAGTCCGGGTACAGGGATGAGCGTCTCGGGCTCGGCCTGGGTTGCAGGAAGCTCGGTGAGGTCGCACCACCTGGGGCCTCGGGGGGAACGCCGGTGGCTGTCTGCGTAGACGCCCGCGAGATAGTCATCGACTAGCTTGGATGCAGCTGGGGGTGTCCGCGCTTCCTGGCGTGCCTGTGGCCGGACAGGCGGGGATGGTGGGGCTGTAGGGGTCGGCCTCACATCCTTAGCTGCAGCCGCCTGCATCGCTTTCTCATCTGCATCCGCTGTGCTTGGCACAGCCGACGATACCGGCACATCGTGTTCGCTTGGTGCGGCCACTGTCATCCCACTCGCTGGGGCAGTCTGAAGCAGCTGCATGAGCTCCTTGTTCATAGTCAGGGCTTTGTACGTCTCGATGGCCTCGCAGGGCCACGAAATGTTTTATCGAAATACCAGAATCGAATGGGTCGTTGGATGTTTATAATTATGGTGATTATAGGATTTCTCCAATCGATCGTTGGATGTTTATAATTATGGTGATTATAGGATTTCTCCAAGAATTGGTTGGCCTCTGCCAGGGAGAAAGTACTGGGGCAACGAGCCTTCCCGTCCTAGGTTCCACAAATTTATGGAAGCTTATATATATATATAACTATAATATATATTATATGTATATATAATATATAATATAGTTCCCTGCGTGTGTTGCCGGCTAGCAGCTTATCCTCATGTATATATATATATACATGTATCATTTGGGGGTCCCTGGGCGCTAATATATAATGTATACTAGCGAATATATATATATTGACAGAATAGTATGCCTCTAGACATACATGTTCCGTGGTATGTAGAGCTTCAGACGATCAGGCCCAGTTCAGACATACATGGAACTCATACATATATAAGTACCGGAATATCAAAGCATATATATATATAGGCAAGTGACATCTGCCGCTGTCTGCAGGCTGCTGCTGCCCACTCCTGCAATGGTACCGTATATTCCCAGAGCTTCCGTAGCTAATATAGTTCAAATTCTAGCATAGATATTATATATATATGTATAGGCCCTCCGCCCTCCACACCAAAACGTGTTCAATAATAAAACCTATGGAACCCTAGCTGGCCTCTGGAGCTGCCTTCCGAGGTCACATCATCATCTCCACCTGCGTATACAGGAGAGGCGCTACCTTTTCGGGGTACGTACGGATCTATAATATAGGGGATGGATTTGGATCTTGTTTGAGCATATCGGGGTGTATATATATAAATATATATAGACTGACCGATTTGAATTTCAATTTTGGTACTTATATGTATGGGGGCCCCCCAGTACCATATAAACACATATGCAGTGTTATGATTAAGAGAACTTATATATGCCTTCATTCTAGTGATTGGGCATAGGTGATAGCAAGAGAGAAATCCACTAAAAAGGTCTGGACTGGCACCGCTTGATGCCATGTCTCAAAGAATTTATGAGGGTTTAGGGTTCGGGGCTTATAAGGTTTATAATTAATGCTCCGAGGCACATGATCCATGATGTATGGGTTGTTTCCATTCGACATCATTCATGAGGATCCCAGATCTAGACTGTATCTCCCGCATTCTAAGGTTTCTGGGATTGGCCATGATCATGACAGCATTATTAAAGTTCGTTTCTGAGTATATAAATATGTCATATACATATATGTACATATCTATTAGCTCCCTAGCATGGGAGATTATAAAGCTGAATCCTTGAAGCACCCAGGCTACGGGGTTTTGTGCTGGTGACCTTACGCATGCAAGTGTACGGGTTTTTCAGGGTTAGGTTTAAGGGCTTCCTGGCTGCCGGCTGCTGCATTGAGACTGCCAACTCTTGGCACAGATCAAGCCTGCAAGGGCCAATGACGAGAAGTGGGAGGCGCATAGCGATAAGCGCTTCAACGTCGTGGACAACTTCAAGGAGCAGTCCAACGAATACATTGCATTCAACGCTGATCGACCCCGCGATGTCAGAAGGCTAGAGAGCCTAATCCCACGACTTCTGGGCCACTGAGACTTTCAGCCCATGCTTATATCAGCCCACTTGCGCTAGAAGCTCGAGGACGAGTTCACATATTCCACCTGCATGTATCCGGATCCCTCAACCTATATAGACCCTATAATGAAGGCTCCATGTGTAGCTAATTTATGATATGATGGACCTCACATATAATCTCTATAATGTATATAAAGGCTCTGCCCTATATAGCCTAATCTGATATATATATATATTATAATCAGGATCAGGAGCCCTATAATAGCTACCCCTTGCATAGAGAAGTCATTCATTCTTGCATTGCAGCTGCCTAGGGTCGAGAGGGTAGCCGTCCGAGTAGTGGAGGTCGCCCCATCATCCTTACCTGCACAGCACGAAATATGTAGAGTTCACTGTGTAACTACTGAATTTAATTTGGGTCCGTATATAATACGAGACGACTGAGAGTGCTGACTTTCCGTTCCCGGCAGTGGCCTCCTCATCCTGAAGCCCCACGTATATACCCATATATAGAGGCCTTGCAAAATTATACTAAAACCCGATCTGAATAATACCATTTGCCTGAACATGGATCATCTCAACATTAAGTGTAAATTTGGCTATATATCTATATATATAGCCAATCGAAGGATTATTGTAGGGTAGGGGGGGTTTGGATCTAGCTGTTTGACTACTGAACGTCGCCCCATCATCCTTACTTGCAGACTGCGATATATGTAGAGTTGACTGTGTGTAAACAACTTTACAAAGTGAGGTATATATAGCATACGAGACCGAGAGTGCTTACTTTCCGGCATCGGCCTCCTCATCCCGAAGCAGAAGAATTGTAATACAATCCGAGCTGAATAATACCCTCTGCCTGAACATGGATATATCTCAACATTATATACATGTATATCTGGAAGGCTTCTTTTTGGGTTTAGAATATATATATATATACGATCTATATATATGCTTATATTATGTACACTGATCCATGATATATATATATATTGGACTGGCTGGTGTACCAAATCCGAAAGCCCCATGTAGGTACTGTGTATATTATAGTGGGGTCAGTTGGCAATAAAGCAGGTCGGGGTACCGTCAGCGAACAGGGTTTTGGGCTTCACCTCCTCTGCCCTGACATCCTCGGTCTTCATAAGCTTTGCCGACGGTGTGGCTGGGGTCATTGTCATAGGCAGGGGTGTAGCCTTTGTGGTTCGCTTCCGTGTGCCCTCGTCAGGCGTGGCCGCGCTCGCTGCCGCCTTGGCCCGAGCCCGCGCAGTCTGGAGCGCACGTTGCACCTGGGTGGTAATATTGGGACCGGGTATAAGACTGAAACCCTCTGCTTAGCAAATTGTAGGCTTGAAGGTCGAAGGGTGGCTACATACTTGATCGATCAGACTAGGCACTTCAGCAGCGTCCTGACTGTCTGAGCTTGGCATGGCGCAGGAGGGTTCACAGGCACACACAAAGAGTGATGAGCTGCCTAGCAAGCAAAATTGCTGCAGGAGCCGCTGATGATCCTATGTGCAGCAGCCGAGCGCTTGGGCTTTCAGGTGTTCCCTCAGATCTGAGTATGTAATATATACCCCAGTAATTGCTCCATGTAGGTGCGTTTGCTGAACTTTTAGGGGCAGTATCTCACACATATATCTGTATTATATTATACACAGGCTCACCCCTACACATGTATATAGGCGTTTATATATATACATATATGATGTGTATATATATATATGTATATGTGCGTATAATATATTGAACGTGTCTTGAGCCACACACATATATATATATGTATAATCATGGTTACCATCACTGGTTATTAAACATTTTCCAACTATATAAATATATATAAGAACCTGCTTCGAAAGCTTTCCGCCATATCGGTGGATCCATGGGTCCGATTATTACATCCATTATAAAGGCCCCCCACTTCAGTCATACTTGGCAATATATTGGAACAGGACTGCTTACATAAAGAAAACCTGGTCCAGGCAGGGCAGTATGCTTATAGGCTCTATGTAGGTACTAGTTAAAGGGTTTAGGGCCCGATGTATGCATTATTTATAGGGTGGCAAGGGTCGGAGCATATGAGTGAGGATTCCTTTCTATGCACAATTCTTTTGCCCGGTTCCATTTCTAGGATACATCTTTAGTTCTGTAGGTACAGGCGTATCACCTGATATATATAGAGGCCCCTGAATTTATGTTTGACCCGTGTTTTTTCCTAGAAATCGTGGTTGGCACCCGTATCCCAGCCCCCAAACCTAAATTTAGACGAATCCCGGACCCCCTTCTAGGAATTCACATTTTTTCACGCTTGCTCACCCTAGATTCTAGGAAACCCTGTTCCAGGAGCAGGGTTTGGGCCCATAGTTTCTAGGAATTCACGCTTTCTCACGCTTTCCGGGCTGCACCTGAAACTGCCGGCATCCGGGTCCTAGGGCTCCGGGGGGGAAAAAACATAGAAAATATCCCGTCTCCGTGAACATACCGGAGCCCCACAGGCACGCCTGCAATGTCTCCCGGCCCAAATGCAACGCTATTTCTCGCATTATATACTAACCCATGGTACGAGCCTCGTAAAGTAAGAGCTGGATGCTCACGCAGGCAGCCCGGGCCCTGTTTCTACAAAGGGGCCAAGCCAGGATCCGGTCGGAAACGGCCGGCCGCTTGCTCTGCAAGCAGGAAAGCACGAATCTCATCCAAGCCGGCATGAAGCCACGCATCTGCTTCCTGAGGTGCACTAGCTTGCATATATTTGTAGACGTGGAGCCCTAAAAAGCTAGGGCACGTGTTAGTCATATTTTATTATAATATAGTCATTTCATGACAGTTGCCGTATATAAAATACTTGAGTTATATATATATATATAGGTAGTACATGCTTGATTTCAGCACCTGGGACTGGGGACGGCCTATACGTCTGTAAATCCCACCGCCTATACAAACAAGCCCCGCTGCTCCAAGCCAACCTGGTGTATACGTATATGAGCACCCATGCCAATCAATTAAAATAAAGGTGTTGTTATAATGGGATATATATAGGATTATATCAT